CTTTCTTGAGTGATATACATTAAAAGGTAAGCCAGATAATTGTGCCCCTGAATATAGGCCTATCGAGCGTTGTTGTGGTATTAAAAACCAAAAGCAGACCATGTCAGTAAAAGATATGAACAGATGGTATTGAACCTATAAATGTAATGCAATTGCTCTCTATTTCAAGTCCATTTTTCCAAGTTTACAAGAACAAGGGTTAAAAGAAGATTAGCTTTCAAAAAAAGCTTTCAGTGAATAGAAGACTTCTACATTGTAGAAGAAATTTGTATCAACTTTCAACCATACGATTAAAGCAAAAATTTCTGATCACTTAGAAATGCAAAAATAGAAAAATTAATAGATAAGCAAAAATAATGGAAACGCAAAAATAGGTAAGACGTTCCATCCATATGACAGGATATTTTTGTCATTTTTTGATATATAAAACTGTTGTTTATCATACACTCCAATAATTATCATACGCTTCAATCTCTACTTTATTTTTCTCTCCAAAGAAACTTTAAACTTTTGAAATTAACCATTGACACCTCTTTACAAGCAAAACCTCTTACAATGAGAAAACGTTTGCTAAAATATCCATGCATGGTTTTTTATAAAAGTACATGTAATCGTTGTGCAAATATTAATCAAAGCTATGTACTTTCCATTGAAATTTTACTCTTTTTTGAAACAGTATAAAACAGTTGTAGTTCATGGAAGCTTAGCAATATCTTAGGAATATTTTCCTCTTTTTTACAGGTTGAGATAATCAAAAAAATATGAATAAGAAAACGAGAAAGTTAGGTAAGTATTTGCAGCACTTTAGCAAATTCTATACTTTCCGTCAAGTTAATTGACGAAAATCACAAAAGCTTCTACATACTTTCACGTCCATAATGGTCCTTATTGGCATTCAACTAACCATAGGATTTTCAACTACGGCATTTTAAACAATAGATATTTAAGGGCTTTCACATTGTAATTTGATGGTTTAACTTTGTAAGTGTAAAAAATCATTTTGTGGTACAAAATTTAGAAATTGGTTTGATTAAAGCAAACATTTCAGTCAAAATACTTTGTCAAACAATTGCCCTTATTGAAAACAATTACTGTAGTATTGACAATATTTACCCTGTATGAATGTTTCTCTTAACATCATTATTGTTATTATTAAGTCCCTTAAATGACCAATAATGTTTGAACTTGCAAACAAAAATCAGTACTGAAAAAAAAGAGTAGGCCAAAACTTTACTTAGCTTAGTGAGACAAATGGAAAAGCAGACAAACTAAGTAGATAGAGCAAAAGCATTAGGAAAAAGGTCAACATCTTTCCTTACAAACAAGCAACACAATGATAAACAAGTCTTGCAGAGGACCTTAAATTGAGAGGTAGTGCACAATCAATGAATTTTCTAGGAATCTTGATTCCTATTAGATCGAAAGCAACAAAATGCAACATAAAAAACATTGGTACAATAAAAAGAGGTCTTAAACCAATGTTTTGAAACTGAGTTTTTTGTTTCTTCTCTAGAGGTTCATCTCATTCCTGAAGAGTTGCTTTTAAACTTTGTGTAGGCCCGTCAACTTGACTTCCGTCCTCACCAAGTGGTTGACCTTGTTTCAAACCTATGTTTATTAAAAGTCTCAGTAGTTGATGTCTGAAATCAACATATAATATGAGATGAAAATGTGGTCTTGATAAACAAAAAGAGCAAAAGACAAGCGTAGTACAATCTCCTAACTTTCGGCATCAATGCTTGAAGCTTGGCTTTAACTTTAATCTGCATTAAAAGCATATCCGGAGTAATTGGTCTCCCAAAAATAATTCACTCAGAATAAGGGTTGTGTGATCAATATATACCTGTAAAAATTTCAACCCAGCATGGAAGTCAGCAACCTCAAGGTACAAACCATCAAGTCTTTCCTTTTCTGTGACACAATTTTCAAGCTGAAAAAGGCAACTAACACCACATTCAACAGTAAGCTGGTCCCCAACAACACCTTGCTCTACAAACTCTACTGGATTTACACTGTCATTGCATGGAGCATAGCCATGCAGCTTAGTCTTGACCTTCTGCATTCCACTTGTATCATTTTCATTTTCATATATCATCTCAGCGAACACCTTGGAACAAAGAGAGAGAATGTGTTGTTTGCTTTTTATTACATTAAGTTACATCTCAAACACAACACTGGACATTATTAGAAAACACTGTGGATAACCTCGGTACATCACTTATGATTAAACCAACTGAAGTGAAAATTAAATGATTCACAAAAAAAATGAATACTTACTAAACTAGTTGGCATGGCCATTTTTGAGGAATATCGATGAGCTATGTGGTTAGTTACAACTTTTTCCAATTGTTTCAAACATTTTCTTTTCTCCAAAGCCAAACGACCACAAAGTGTAATTCAAGCGTTGCTGATTGTGCTCCATACTGCTTGGTATACAGAGACTATTCTCCAACTTGGCCTGTTTTTTCATTGAAGGATGTTGTGAGTGCAAACCATCCCCCAAAATCCGGGTCTCTGTAATCATGAGCCCTACCCAATTCACAACTTTCTCTTGATTCTCAGCTGTCATTTGGTGAGGTTCAGAGCTGAAGTTGAAATGGTCAATGATCAACTTACGTCCAGAGTAGGAACTGCTTATTGAATTTTTCATCATTTCCCCCTCCTTTGAAATCTTCTCTTCAATGTCTCCCAAATGATCCCTCTCATACCCATCCAATTTATTGTACAAGAATGTGTGAGAAACAGCCAACCTTAGTGCACTCAGCCACAAAAAAGATGCCTATTGAGGAAAAAAGTGTATTATAAATATATGCAAGTAACAAAATAATCAAGTAATGGGAACAATAAAACAACTACAAACATCAGTAATGAAACAATCCAGTGACCTTAAGCAGAAACTCTTTCAAGAAAAAAGCATCAAAATTGATCATTTGTTTCAGTTGTGACTAGATATGGCCTCTATCTGGCCATCTTCACTGAAGATTCTTCAGAGCAACTGGCAATAAATATATATATATACATATATAGGCAACAGCTTTTAATTTCACTGTCTATAGATTTGTAATACTTTCTTTCTTCTAGAACAAAAAAAAACAAGTCCTGGGGGGTTGAAATGTTTGGCCCCCATGGAGTAAGCGAGTGTAAAGGTAACTCTTGCTTTCTTGATGCAACAGAAGACACTGCTGACAAGCAGTCTGCTGATGAAGTGAGGAGATCTTCCTCAAATCAGGTTTGCCGACAGACCAGATGAAGCCTTTGATAACTGGCATTCTGGAATATGATCAATGTCTCCAATGCACACAGGTGGACATTTTTGACAATAATATGATATGGGGTGCAACATCTTGGTCAGTGTTGGCAACATAATATGATATGGGGGGCAACATCAATAAGTGTCCAGTTAACTCACTGATTTCCACGCCGGCTCATTGAGGCCAAGCATGGGGGTTTTACAGAGACAAATGTCACATGCACTAGCAAAGTAATAAATGCGATGCTTCAGAGATTTGCCAAGTAAGACGTCCCTCTGTTTCCAAGATGTCACTGAGGAAACGGGCTTTACAGTCACGAGGGTGGCATACAACAGGTTGTTATCTATCAACATCAAACAGGCACTTGGAAGGAGTAATGTACGTCTTCAGGAAGCCATGTACCTGTCAGTGCAGCTTTATCAGGGCTGGAAAATGTCAAGAAAAAAAAAAGAAATTGTTAGCATGAAATATCAATTGCTTGATGTTAATATGAACATTAAATTTATGTTAATCTCATTCTACGTAACACTGTTTTCTTGTCATAAACATACATACTGTATATTTTTCGTTCTGCGCTACTAACAAAAAATAGAGATTTGCTTTCAAAATACAATCATTTGATATTATCAGTGTATTGTCTATTGTACAAACTATGTGTATTAGGTTCGAAGACATTCTCCTCAATTATCTAATATAGAGTGAACAAAATGATTGCTGTCAAAACAGCTTTGATAAACAATAGAGGACCAACAATTTGTTTTTGCTTAGTGTGAGTTTTTGTTAAATTGTTAGGAGAAAAGTTTGAACAAATCTAACAACTTAAAAAATCACCTTCCGTGACTGGTTAGAATTTTTGTCAAAGATTTGCAAGAATATTTGAATTTTTTATTTTGCTGGCAGGAAAAAAATCTCTCCCTAGGTATGGTATTAAGTTTCTTAAATTCAAACCTCTCGGAAAAGAATCTCTCCTGGAGCTAAGTGGGTTTGTCCAGAAAAGACGTATAACCAACTTGTCTTCAAGCGAAGAAGATGGAAGTGAAAAGTGAAGCTGAGGCTGACGAGCAAAGCAGTTGATGTCTGATCCAATTGTCAAAGCGATGGCTGGCCATTAGATATTTCACAAAATGAGCAACGGCTTACTGCAAAGCTTACTTCCAAGATGACTCACCTCAAGGAATCAGCTGAATCAAAAGAAAAGGCTCGGCCATTGCCTGCAGCATTATCGCCTGTAGCTGATGGTACAATACCAGCTACATCAGAGGAAGCTTCTACATCAGGTGGCAGGACATCCACAGTAGCAAAAGCAGCAATTCCAGTAGCTTTAAATGCTTCAAAGGTGATTTCCTTGACTAAGGTTAACATCACAAGTTATCACCCAGAATGCGATCCCCTTTATTAGAGCCCAAACTGTTTATAGAGGGTTTGCAGTAGCACTTGGTGTCTATTTCATGGTTGCTCAATGACCTGGGGGGAAAAAGCCTAGTTTCTATCGGAAATTAAAATATTCTGATTTTTTATATAATACAGTCTACTGTTGTAATTATGGTGATCAATTATTGCTTTAAATTTTCTTGAAGGTTTCTTTCTTTGATGAAGATACTTTCTCATACAACTTGTGAGAAAGTACTGATTCAACTTGAATGTTGCAGGATCAAGAAAAGGTGTAAAAAATGTCTGCGTAAGGAATATGTGCAAGAAATTGGATGAATATAATGTGCAGCTTTGGCGAAATTCTCGCGGATGACGACAAAACAATATACTTGCAGTGCTGTTTCTATAGAAATGAGCTGTATACCACGTATAGATCAAACAACAAGTCCTCGGATATACAGCTTTCTGGAAAATGTGGAAAGAGGACTTTAAGCATGTGGAAATTTCAAGGGTAAGAATACATGAGATCTTCTGTTTATCGATGCTGCAACTCGTTTTTAAAGGCTAAATGGGTTTTTGGGTTTGAAAAATGTGGCTCATGACATGGCACAAGATTCTTTAGACTTTTTTGTAAGGAGTCTAACTTTTTGCCCCACCTCTATACTCTTAAAAATATTACCTTTTGAGCCTGGATATATTCATAAAGTTTTCACATATTTTTAAAATGTAGTTTTTCGGAAACATATTTCCTTGGGAAGGTCGAATAGAGAGCACGCTTTTCAAACAAAGAGATATACCAATATCAGTCATGCAATTTCCAGGTATGAACATTGCAAGACAGACAACTGCAGCAGCCAGAATGCTGAAAAATGAGACTCAAATACACAAATATGCTAGCTTTGGTGAAGCTACATTCATTTAATATTTGTAAAGATTGGGCGATTCTGTGCCTGAATATTCTTAGAAAATTCCTTATAAAACAGTTCATAGCTCTGATATGATTTTGAGGCGCACTTCTATCTCTACATATACTTGCGAGTTTACATGCAGTTGACATTCTTCATAGTAAAAAAATGCATTGAGTGAACTTTTTTAAAATTACTGTTTACTTGTCTGTCATTAAATCATCAATGCCTTCTAGCCAATTCTGTACTATATTCTTGCATTAACAGGACGATTGTAAGTTGCTGCTCTGAGTTTGAAGCTTGATGCGACCATCAGGCAACTGTTTTTAGGTGAATATTATACATATACTTGGAATCTTTTGTTAAGATATATATTTTATATGTAAATATCTTACAGGGAAAAGGCAGTTTTACAAAATGTGGCGTCTGTGTGCTTTTGAAGGATTTGACTACTGCTTCCACAAATCCAGACAGAAGAAAAAGACTTGTTCAGAAAAAGACAAAGCACATTGAGCAGCAACAGTAAGTTAGGCACTATATATAATATTAGTAATACCTATGATGTTATTTTATTCTATTATATTTTATTCAGATCAGACAAAGTATTTTTAATGTCATTCTAGAAATGATAGATAAAAAATAAAAATGATAAATTTTAATATTTTTTATTGAAATTAATAACGATGATGTTTACGACAAGTATGTGCTTGGAGAGAAAATCGAAACAGTTATTCTAAGAAATGATGCAAAGACTCGAAAGATGCAGGCACAATGAATAATTTAAATCTTATGTCCCCAAATGTAATATTGGCTGACAGAAAGAAGTCTAAATTTTTTATAGGCCTTTATCCTGATCAGGGTGATCTTTAAGTTTTTGGGTCCTGCTAAATATCAACTGACATATTGGCGCTTCCCACAGGAGCCAGACCCAATGGGACTATGCCAAACAGGGAAATCTATATTCCTCATACAAACACCACACTACCCTCAAAGCGTTGATTGCAGTGACCCTCAATGGGAGTGCATGTTTTGTGTCTGATTTCTATGAAGGAAGCCTTGATGATGATGCCATTACTCAAAGATGTGGGATCTTAGATTACATTGGGCCTGGAGACCTTCTGTTAGTGGATTAAGGTTTCAGAATTCAAGATCTTGTGCATGAAAAACAAGCCACAATCAAAATACCACAATTTTTAGAAAATAGGTCAAAGTTAACGGCAGAGAAGGAGATAGAAACAAAACGGATTGCTAAAGCACGTATTCACATTGAACGATTCAATGAAAGATTGAAGAAGTTCATGGCTATTGGAAGGACAATTCCACTGTCATTAACGCCATTAGCTGCTTGTTTAGTAGATATTCAAGAGCCTTTGTGTAGATAGTTTGTTTAACTATAAATATATATTATATCAACTCAACTATAGGCCCCCTAGATATAGGCCCCTGTGTACTAACCTACATATCATTTCAGATGTAGGCCCCCAAATTCAAAGCATAGGGCTTCCCTTTGAGATTCACTGTGTATAGTGAAGATTCAATGAAAAAATTGTTCCTGCGTTGCCTGAATAAAATGACTGTTCCCGCGTTGGGCAGAGCCTCTTATTACTTTTGTTCTTTCGTGAAATGTTTGCATGAGTACACTTTGGTGCCTAATAGATGCTCCCCACTAATTAATTTTTTCCAAAATTTTCCACCCAGGACATTATTATTTCAACCCCCCCCCCGGGCTATTAAGTTTTGGGAGAAATTCCACCCAAGATTAGCTTTCAAGTAATTGCAAAGACATTGCATTGCTAATTTGAATAGTTGTCTTTCTTTTTGTCTTAGTTTTTCTTAGATTCTATTGTTGGTCGCCAAAGAAGTTGAACTGTTTAAAAAATTGTCTATACCCCAAATTTTATTAAATTTAAGGGAATTTTCCAACCCCCTGCTTATTTCAACCCCCATCTTATTCTACCCCACCCCGCACCCCTGCTAATAAGGTTTGGAGATTTTTCCAGCCCTCCAACTATTTCAACCCCCCAGTCTATTAGGCACCCAAGAGTATGTTGGTGTAAATCTCCTTGATTGGAAGCCAAATTATGATTTTATGGCACATGCAAGTCATCTGTTACCCCAATAGTCCTCCCAGATGTAAGCCCCCATCCCCCAGAGATAAACCCGCAAGAAACTTATAAGAACCTTTAAAAGTTCATGGTTTATATTTGGGGTTTTATGGTATTCAGATACACAATCTTAACAAGGAACAGAAGTAGATTGAAATAGATAAAAAAATGCAAGTTTAAACATAACTTTTTAAGAGAATGAACTGACTGTCTCTTCTTATATATATCCTCAAAATATATCATTTCTTGGTTTCCATTTGTGTTAGGCAATTAGTGGAAAATGTTTAATTAAAACAAAGCAACCATTAACTAAATATGCACCTTAGGATTTGACCAAAATTCTAAGTTGCATATAACGAATCTTCCCTTCAAGGTAGGCTTATGGGGGCTAGGGGGCTTGAGCCATTGGAAATAAATACTCTTGAAGCTTGTCAATAATACCCAGGCGTGCAACCAGAAATTTTAGAGGGCAGGGGTCCAAGACACAAAAAGGGCACTAATTAAATTTCATTTAAGGTCCACCGGGGCATTTGTTCAGGTACGGCGAAAAGATGAGCAGTTAGTAAATCTGTAAATGTTGTACGCCAGACAAGGGAAACTGATCAATATAGAAAAGTTGTGGTGTACGGTTTATTTTGTGGTGATAAATTAATTTTTTCCTTTTAATTTTAACTATGCACATGACTTCTTTCTGTCTGCCGTACAGTGACACCGAGAAGTTTAGGAGGCCCGAGGGAGGGGGGAAATGGAAAAAACAATGCCTCTTGCGAGCGAAGCAAGGAAAAATTTTGCCACCACACCCTTGCTAATAGCTTAAATTCACTAATTCGTTTAAGATGTTTTACTTTTTAATTGTGCCATAATTGTGAACATCAGCTTTTTGAGCCATCTTTACTGCTTGCTAAATTTTTTATCTGCATTCGCTCGTTTCATGCAAAGGTCTTCTATGACCCTGTCAACTATGTGACAGGCTTGAAAAATGTCTTGGTTTTTTATTCTTGTAACTTCTTACCAGAGGTCGTAGAGGCTCTATCCCGTTCAAAATCTTGTGCCTTTATTTTGTTTTTTGAGTCTCAGAACCATTTTTCTTCAAAGCCAGTGCGTGGCACATCATAAAACACGGTGTATAGTTGGGGCTTGAAGATATACTCTATTACTGCAACATGATGACGTTCGACCCAACAAGTACGTGAAAAATTGACTAAATAATTTATCTGTATTCTTGCGAGGTCCATTACATCTCCGGAGTGTGTCATTTACTGTATGACCAACCATTTTAGCGTAATAATCAAAATATTCATGCAATTTTCCAAGAAAAAGGGCTTTTTTCCCCTTTTGAGAAAAAGGGCAGGGGTCTGGAATTCCCAGGACCAACCCCCTCCCCACGCATCTCAAAGTACTCAGGTATGAAGACTTTGTGCCAGAAGGAAGACAAGCTGGCTCTCAACTTCTCCTGAAATTGTTTGTCACATGGAATCCTCTGAACTGATGGTGGTCCTTTGGGAGAATGCAAAACAAAGTCACATAATGGTAGCTGAAGTACCAGCAGTTGTAGCCGGACAGCTTATTATATTCGACGAAACGAAACGAAACGAAAAATGATATTTAACGAAACAAACAAAACGATCTCCATATCTCTAAAACTGCTTGCAAGATCGAATCGAAACCATGAAATTTGTGTTGGGGGCATTGATTTTCACCTGTGAGAATGGCTTTTAAAGGAAACTTGCCCATCTGAAATGAAATTCGGACAATTTTAGAAAAGTGCTACAATAAGTCAAAATCTACTTTCAGGATTGAAATAAAATGTGAGTGGATTTTTCAGCGGGACAGTATGTTAGCATAATTGATAGATCAAGACAAAAACAGCTGTTAAAAAAAAGGAAAAGCATTAATTGTTCTTTATTATAATGTTGGAGTGAATTCAAGGCTCATAGCCAGATATTGTTTTTGAAGAATTAGATATGGCTTTGCGTAAGGTGCTCTTTTACGCTGTTGGCCGTTTGTAGCCTTCCTTTCCAAAAGTAGGGGTGTCGTTTTAAAATACATTCTTTCCTCACGCAGTAAAATTGGTTTCCCATCTTCTTCTTTGTTAGCTCTATTCTCAAGACTCTTCCCTCTTTGTGTTTGATAGGGTACTGATATCGCTCTCTGTGAATCACTAAAATGTCAAATGGTATTGTGAGAAATGCTCTGGGAAATGCATTTTCGCAACCTTTGCAAGCCACTGCTCTTTTGTAGTCTTTTATAAAGCCGATTTGAAATGGCTCATCATTGTGGTAGTGTTCCATGAACTTGGCAGGTGGTTGATGACCTATATCCAGCTCATCGATTAGCTCAATTATTGGCTCCTTTGCAACATTATTTTTTCCATGCCGCTTTTTTGAGCCTGGTTTGTGACCGGCACTTTCAGGACTATTTTTAAATAGTATTTGGAAAGGCTAGTTGTCTTGCTTTTTTAAATTTTTAAGATAGCTGTGAAGTTTGTTGTGATTATCATAAACAACTTCTATATGCTTGCATAGCATTCCATTTTCTTTAAACGATTTGCAAGAACAATTATACCGTTGCTGTGACATTTGCTCGATATGGAATACTTTATCTTCATCTGTTACACAGAAATTCCCATTTTCCAGTGGAATGACTTTTTCAGTCTCCATTAATACTGCAGTTTTCCCAGATTCCTCTAAGCCTTAGGGCAGAAATTGTTGGGACACAGAAGTCTATGTCCTCGTACCTTTGACAAGGTGACATTTTTCTCTTTTTGGCATTAAACATGAAAACTTTTTTTCTATAGTTTTCTTTCTGTGCAAAACTCATCTGAAACCATTGCACTTTATACAGTTAAAATTGTGTGCCCTTAAAATTCCAAACGATTGGAATCTGTGTCTCAGCATTTGATGCCATAAAAAGTTCATTTGCAGGAGACATCTGCTGGGTAGAATTATGCCTGATTTCATCTTCTACTCCCAACGATAATTCACTTTCAGCTGGGTCAATTCCCGCATCAGACATGAGCACTATGCTTGTTTGTTTGCCATGGTCATGGTTTGCCGTTGCTTCCTCTCTTTTGACCAATTCAGCTATCATCTGAAAATTATATCAAAAACTTAAAAAAAAACAAAATTTTTCAAACTTTTAAAAACAGCCAGCTCTTGATTTTATTAGTAAAAGTAATCTCTTTAGTCCTAATACTATCATGTAGAATTTAAAATAATTTTCACTTGTCTTACGAACCTCTAGTCTGCGTCGCTTCGCAAAGCCCCTATACCGCTTCTTTGGGCTAAGTTTCTTCGGGCTTGGAGACTCCAAAGAGAACGGCAATTGAAATCTCGATGTAATTGGCTTGATAACTGTCCTCCTTTTAAAGGCTCCTTTTTCCCTTGACTTGCCCACTCCCTTTCGGAGATCCCTTATAAAAAATGGTAGGTACCGCATCGGGCTTCAAGGAAGGATGTTTGATTCCTTCGAGTCCTAGGGAAGCTATGAATTTTGGTCCCACTTCGAACTGGTCCTCCTCAAAATGATCCTGGCACAATCTAGAATGTGTCTTTAATTCCAAATTCAGAAGACCCATCTTTGTGATCCAAACTTTTTGCAAGGGAGGATCAGAGGGGAATTTAAAAAGAGTTTTACTCTTCTGTCTTGGCTGGCTAGGCCCATCAGAAATATCAGAAGCGTTTTCAGCAGCAGCCATCCGGCTTCCGCATGATTTTCTTTTCCTACTGTCCTCAAAACAATTGTACGCACTACAGTGAACCATCTTTCTCTATCAGACAGAATTTCTTTATGATTGCTTTTAACAGCCCTGACTGCATCTAAAACAGTTAAGACAAAAATAACCTGGAATCCTTGCAAACTGATGTGTCTAAGAATGCACATAGTAGACTGAAGGATTGAAAATATTGCAAATTTCATCTCCAGTAGCTGTAAATAATTGTTGCAGTAGCTGTAAATAATTGTTTTATATCATCACAAAGAAGTGAGGAAGAGGAAGAAAGGTGAGGAAGAGGAAGAGGAGAGGTGAGGAAGAGGAGGAGAAGGGTCTTGAAATTATTTTTGATAAGCAGCTTAATGCTAATCTTGCAACTAAGGGGAATTGACGTTGAAGTTTTAAATTACATTTACAACACCCGATTTTCAACCTGTTTTGGTAGATAAAGATACACATATAATATCATGGAGAAAGGAAAAAATATAAAATCCGCACTAAAAGATGCCATTGAATGCATAGAGCGTCTGGAGCAACATGGTTCTAGTTCAGCAAACACCGTCAAAAATGCTGTACCACCAGCCGTCAGGACTTTGAGGCCATTCTTGCCAATGCGGCGCAGTGCAGACACACATACTTCGCTAATTAATACAAGCAAAAGACCAAACAACATTGAAGGAAACAGAGAAGAAGCAGTAATGCAAGATTTTAGGTAGATACATTTCTAATTTTTCTTTCTAATTTTCTTTATCTTTTCCATCAATCGATATATGTATTTCATAAAATCAGGTGCATGTTTATTATAAAGGACCTAACACATGGCCTAGTTCTTGAAGTTCCTTATTTTTGGAGCATTTTTTTTATCAAACTGTAGTACTAAAAGTTCCTTAATAGTTCCTTAAGTTGACTGCATTTCCTCAACACCCTGTTCTTTTACTGAAATGTCTGAGGGGCAAAAGACAGCAACCCGAAAGTTACTCAATTAAACACCTTCATAAAACACAATGTATCTGATTTTTAACTACAAATGAATAGAAAAAAACAACCAAAGGCTAAGGAAGGCAAAATGCATTACAACTGCACAGAATGTTTTGCAACTATACAAAGAAAATGTAGATTACAAAGTCAATCAGAAAAACATTATCAATCTTCAAATGATTCCTATTGTAGATAATTTACTTCATAACTTTTATGTAAACAAATTCCTTAAAACTTTCTTATACTTCTAGCTCATATTCAGTGCCTTTTACCACCCTACATCCGCAAAGGACAAGTGCACTTTGTATAGAGACCGAAACATTATTGACAGAAGAAATGTTTCATCTGATGTTAAGCACCATGTGAATCCTTGCAAGACATTCCTTGCATTAGCAATAAAGGCATGTGTTTTTGTATCTGCTTTGCATATCATGGAGATGTCATCAATAGATGGGAAACCTGCTAAGGTATTGCCTGTTAATGAAAACGGTAAAAGAATAGAAAAGAGTCAATACCTGGTGGAGATTGCAACAAAAATTGTTGACGAATTCGTCCTAAAAGCATCCAAAGTCAATGAGTTGATGAAAAAGAAGGGAAACCTGGAATCCTTGCAAACTGATGTGTCTAAGAATCCACATAGTAGACTGAAGCATTGAAAATATTGCAAATTTTATCTGCAGAGTCGCAGTAGCTGTAAATAATTGTTTTATATCATCACAAAGAAGTAAGGAAGAGGAAGAAAGGTGAGGAAGAGGAAGAGAAGAGGTGAGGAAGAGGAGGAGAAGTGTCTTGAAATTATTTTTGATAAGCAGCTTAATGCTAATCTTTCAACTAAGGGGAATTGACGTTGAAGTTTTTAAATTACATTTACAACACCTGATTTTCAACCTGTTTTGGTAGATAAAGATACACATATAATATCATGGAGGAAGGTAAAGATATAAAATCCGCACTAAAAGATGCCATTGAATGCATAGAGCGTCTGGAGCAACATGGTTCTAGTTCAGCAAACACCGTCAAAAATGCTGTACCACCAGCGGTCAGGACTTTGAGGCCATTCTTGCCAATGCGGCGCAGTGCAGACACACATACTACTTCGCTAATTAATACAAGCAGAAGACCAAACAACATTGAAGGAAACAGAGAAGAAGCAGTAATGCAAGATTTTAGGTAGATACATTTCTAATTTTCCTTTCTAATTTTCTTTATCTTTTTCATCAATCGATATATGTATTTCATAAAATCAGGTGCATGTTTATTATAAAGGACCTAACACATGGCCTAGTTCTTGAAGTTCCTTATTTTTGGAGCATTTTTTTTATCAAACTGTAGTACTAAAAGTTCCTTAATAGTTCCTTAAGTTGACTGCATTTCCTCAACACCCTGTTCTTTTACTGAAATGTCTGAGGGGCAAAAGACAGCAACCCGAAAGTTACTCAATTAAACACCTTCATAACACACAATGTATCTGATTTTTAACTACAAATGAATAGAAAAAACAACCAAAGGCTAAGGAAGGCAAAATGCATTACAACTGCACAGAATGTTTTGCAACTATACAAAGGAAATGTAGATTACAAAGTCAATCAGAAAAACATTATCAATCTCCAAAAAGAATTCCCTCAACAAAGATGCTATTGGTTTGAAGAAACTATCATCTAAAAAGGACAAACAGCTGTTAGAAGAGAAAACCATTGTTTCTAGAAGACAACTAAACATCGAGCATGTAGAATGTGATATTTGCAAAAGAAAGGTTACCAAAAAGAATAGAAATCTTCATGATAAAAGGTGGCATAGCCAAGAATATACATACACTGCAGTTTTTTGTGATAAACACAAAGGTTTTTACATGATTAGAAAGTCATCACATGGGGGTGTGGGTCATCCTTTGCATGTACAAAAATTACTTCAAAGTGGATTAATTGATTGTGAAGATGAAAGGTGTCGAGAAGAGATGACGACTGCTGCGTGGTCAGGCATGAACGGAAGGGAATGCAGTCATTTGACGCTAGTTAATAATGCTTTCTATCCACAACAGTTTACATTGAGTGAATACAAACTATTTCAATTGGCTTTCAGTGGAAAGTATAGAGTTTTGTCTGAGGAAACAGTTAGCACGTGCATTGAGTTAGAACACGGTTGTGATTTGTATAATCATCCATTAGTGGTTGCTTGGAAGGACCAAAATCATATTCATTTGTCGGTCTATAACAGCAAATATATGAACATACTTATACGGTCTTGATGTATAGTTTTTTACAAGAGTCTATCTGGTGGTCTAAACTGAAAGGGTAAAAATTTTCTTTGCATTTAGAATGCCTTAGCGAATGTTACGAGTTTAACTGCATGATATGTGGTTTTTATCTCGATGGCTGATGTTAATCATAAAGTTGCATTCAAGTATACTTCTCCTACAGAAAATGATTTGAATGAAGATGATGTGGATGAAGTTGATTGTCAAAATTTTTGGAATGACGTTGCAATGGAGATGATGAGCAGGGGGTTTTGTTCAATAAAACTAGACTCTCTAAAAGTGGGTCCGAATCTGTCATATTGGCCACTTTTTATGGGTAGAAAGAGTGGGATAGGAAATATAATTTATAATTCCAAGCACCTTAAAGTTCATAGGGATGATGAAAGTGTTGAGGTGGAATTTAGAGAGATGTCTGAGGAGAATGTCCAAAAGGCAAATGAAGGAGACCTACAGCTATCATTTCCTTTGATTAATTCATTCTCAAAGCTAGGAAAAGATGCAGATGCTAACTGTCACCCAATCATCGATAGTGCGTAACATTTTGCCCTTTTTGACCGACTCCATGAGGGAAACAGCTCTAATGAAGTTGAGGTACTACAGAGGATAGGTTGCATCAATGGGCTCTATGGTCAAATTAATAGTCAAGTTGCAGAACAAATTCATGGCTCGTTCAACCTAAACAGATACTTTCTCAATAAAATGTCTCCATCTAATCATATATTTATGTTACGCTTAATCATTGATTTGACAAACTGGAACTGGCAAGTTATTTGTGAAATGGAGAAAAGAACGAGACTTGTTGCTAAATACGACAAATTTGGTCCTGCAATTCTTGCCCATTCGAGAGAAGAGGACTAAGTTCATGACGATCAAAGCTCAGACGATTCTGTTGACAGATCCTTCCTTGAGACAGCATCCATAGATCCATTCCCATGGTTTGATGGTTTGAGGAAGTTTCATTTTCTAAGGAAGACCAAACATCAAAACCTGACTATAAAGAATTTGTCAACGGTTTGTACAGGATGGCAATCGCCAGAATCTTTCCTCATATTCAAACAAAAGTTTTGAAACCCAGCTAAAGAAGAGGTGTCTGCAAAATATCAATATCTCTAAAACAAGTGATATCGAACCTGAAGATAAAGAAGGGCCTATTGATGATCTTTTTCCATTAGACGTCAAGGAACCCCTTGATTTTGACAATGCTATTGTAATATCTGATGATGATCTTAACTGAGGTAAAGTTATTGATAGTCATAATGTGGTAATAGATTTTGCAGCAAATATTCTCTCGTTTGATACCACACCGAGTAGCAGTAATATTGAAAATCCAGAGGCTATAGTGGAAAAGTTGCAAAAGTGAAATTATTCTAAATCAAATTGAATCAGGTTTACCCTTGTGTTGCTCTGTCATTAGTGCTGCATTGGATATCTTGCGCCATCATTTTCCTAGTCTAGGCAGATTGAACCCAATTTGTAAACTTAATAATATGTGGGGCAGCGGCAAAAGTTTCGTTCAAATTGTTCCCTTCAATGATTTAGGGGATGGATGCATTGAATGGGGCACCCTGTCAAATGTCTTCTTGTCTAGAACTATTTTTTCGTATGACAGTCTTGTAAGAAACCATTTCTCCAAAAACAAAATAGAGTGTAAATACGATATTTCAGTCGAGGGTTATGCTGCATTACTTAGACAACCAAAGAAAGATAGCTTCGAAATTCAAGTTGTAGATACCACATCATCTTTAAAAAATGCAGACAGCGAAATAGCTGCTTTATTTTATACACTCAGTCTTGATGCAGGGAACTTGATCCACAGGTAATTTATTACAACTAAAAAAGACTGTCTGTCGTGCATCGTGTTTGTGGTTGATTATTGTTAATGAGAATGTCTTTCGATGTTTGTGTCAGTCATTTTGTTTGTCATTGTGCCATCTCTATTGAAGTTGTTATTAGTCCATTTGCTGTTAATTTGTGTCATTAGGATTTTGTGTGCATCACTCATGTTGTTAAAATCCTATGTTCTTTCAATGCAAGTTTCAGTCGAGTTGAAGTTGTCGTTTAATTCAATCCGTAGGGTGTAGACGTGATTTTAGATATTCAGATAGCTGTTGCTTTTTGGATGTTTAATTACCGAACTGCTGTTGCATTTCGGATGTTTAATTTTTCTATATAAAAACTGCTGATTGAATTGTTGTACTTAATGTGAAGAAGAACTTCCGTAAAACTTCGTAGTTTTATAATATTCATCCAACCATTTTGTGATGTTTTGCTGTGTGGCACAGTCTGCAGAGCTGCAGATTGGCAAATGTTGAAGGAATACATACTTGTTCATAAGAAAAATTCTCTTCTTCTCCAAAGAAATTATTCATTGAAACTTTTTCTATATATTATTGAAGTCATGAGACAAATTTTCCTGTTTTTAAAATGATTTCAAATCTATTTTTAAAAAAGTCAGCTTGCTTTGGGTGGATTTTGGGGAGAAACATGATGTGTGGCTAGAATTTTACAATTTGCTTTTGTTTCCACCAAAAATTGTTTTTCTTTTGCCTACCATCATTCCTTTGTGTTTCAATTAACAGCAAAAATTTTCAAACATTCTGTTCAAAGATGTTAATTTGTCAGCGTTTTATCTCTTGCATCATGTCCATGAAAAGAGCATTGAGCAAAGGGCAATTTACAAAAACTTGTTTATCATCTTATCAGATATGGTAAGATAATTAATTAAGAGCCTAGAAATGAGATCACAAGATCTTCCTTTAGCAAAGAGATCACAAGTTCTCGTATTTTCAATCATTGTTCCTCTGTTTTGTGAAACAACATACTTGGGTTTCAATTAAAGTTCACATTAAAGCTGCCACTGAAATTTGGATGTTCCACATATGATAATTAATATCTTTGCACAGTACATTAATTACTAGAAAATTAAAACAAAATTATGCTTTACAAGTCCATCTTGACAGTCCATTATCAAAATTAGATATTCATTACTAGCTTCATTTTACAGTTAATTATGACTGATCCTTACTAAAAAGACATTTCCTTAAAATTTTCTCCTACATTAGCCTAAATATAGATTATATTCACCAAAAACTCTACATCTTTATCAATTATAGAATACCGAATCTCACTTAGGCTGTTTAAATATAATCTGAAAATATCTCTATCTAGAACGAAAAGTACCTTAAATTCTTCCTTGATGTTGCGATGTTCAATACGATTTATAACATCATCAAAAAACCAATTATAATTACTCATACCGCCTATCTTTATACGAACTGCGATCTTTTCAAACCCAAACAATCATAGACATCCTTGCAAGTCTCACAAAGAAGTCGCCAATAACGAAAGGCAGTTTAAAATCAATTTGCCCGAGGTAAGTGTGCAATACCATATTGTACTACCATTTTATATCAAATTTTAAATTTTACTGCATCAATGACTTTGCTCCTGCACTTATCCTCGTCTTGCACTGCTCTCGGCTCTGTCAAATCCATTGACTGAGAACTTATATTCCATTTTTTAACAATTAAAATAATTCTGTACGGTTTCTAAATTTAATACAAATTGATTTACATATTTTTAATACAAACGGCACTCACAATTTTATTAAAGTTTCAGATCCTAAATTATGATAACATAGTTACTAGCAATGGTGTAGTGCTATCAAAGTAACGAGGAGGGCTCATGCACATAATGTTCTCAAAAACAATAACAAAAGTAAGATTTTGGCAAATTTCAGGCTTTAACAAGGGAACTCAGCACCCCTGCACTACACTCTTTATTACAACACCTTTCAAAAATCACTTATAACAAATACTCGTCTTCTCTCTTTGATTATCAAAATTTTTACATATATTTCTAGTCAACATGAGTTCACCACAGCAAAAGAGAAAGTTTCTTCCAAGCAGTACTACAAGCCCACTCCAGTTTCCTCCCAGCCACAGTAAGTGCTCTACGCTATTTTTGACATTTTCACTTATCACAGTCAGTAATAGGTTTCTTTGAAATCGTCTACCTCAAACATTGCTGTACATTCTAAACACTCAACAGGGTCCATGCCACGAATTTGTCAGTGGGTGACAATGCTAGTAAAAGTGGGAAGGCTAAGGCCTTGTTCACCTTTTATTGCACATTCGAAATTACCCACTCTGTGAAAAATCTGGGGCCATGGCCCCTATCCCCTCCTCTGTCACATGGGCCCTGTCAAGGTAACATTGTTGCGTATGAAATTTTAAACAAATTAATCACAGCAAGTCTCCTTACCATTGCGTTCTATTTACTTTAAATAAGGATTATTGCTCTAAACAAAACATACGTTCACAAGCTCTACCACATAGATTGCCTTAGAACAACTAACCAGTCTAAGAGACAAGGCAGGTAGCGCTCTTTTAAAACTTATTTGATGATTTCAAGAACTGGTCATAGAAGAAAATATTTTTAATAAGAAAATCTTGTTTTTCCTTTAACTCTTTGTTAATTGAAAACACGAGGACCTCGAGCAGTAAAACTCGTCCATCAATAATGGATGACTCACTCGTTTTATTGGCAAATTGAACTTTATATCTTCCCTTGGGCCGAATAACTACCGATTTCACTACTTATCACCTAATATTTTATGAACAAATTTAAAGCAATCTAGTCATGATTTTTCGGAATATCAAGACTAACAAGCCAGAACTTCAGTTAACAAGCCTGAACTTCAACTTATAAAAAACAAAGAGTTTATATTACATGCTTGAGACGCATCACCCGTCTACAACGTAAAATCAGTAATAGATTGTTTCTCTCAATTTGCAGGATAAACAATTTGCAGGATATACAACTATTTTTCTCTGAAGAAAAGGTCACAACTCCAGGAAATCCCTGTTTTACAATTCAATTAAAAGTATCCGCAACAATACAGATAGCAGTGAGAGTAATAAAGAAATGGAACAAAGATATAAACCGGGATATCTTCATCCAAAAACAAAACGAAGGTGATCCTGTCACTTTATCAAATATAGCTGCTGGCAGACAGGGCATCTTCTTCTTCAATTGCTTTCAGGGAAGTGACCTCCTCAGATGTTCCTTGAAACTAAACTTTAATCGTTTTTATCAGTTACCACCAACTGTCCAACAAATGAAAAACAAACTTCCAGCCTCTATTCTGTCCAAGGACAGTTACAGTGGATTGGGAGAAAAGGTTATTTCCCCTGGATGAACCATCCCCACCAAAATACGTGAGGGATGACGTTCCTTTAGACCACTCTGGCCACGTTCTAAAAGAGAAATAGAGGAGCTTCAGCCATGTTGCTATTAAGCAGTACTGTGGCATAAAATTATCAATAACGACCATGACAATCATAACAAAATTTGACAGCAAAGGAATCTCAATTGGGAATCTGTTGACATGGAAACATACATGTCAAATGCCGTAGTTGAAAAGATATTCTGATGCCCAAAGATAATAACTAATAGCTAGTTGTAGATAAGAAAATAATAGAAACGAACGAAAAATCAATTTCGAGGAGAGCAATTTACTTTTTAGAGCAATTTAGGAGAGCAATCTGTAGCTCCCTTCCAGCATTTGAGGAGAGTCTGGAGGGGAGCGAGAGCTATGGCTCTCATTGAATGGCCAGGCCTGCCTCATGTTGTACCTGTTTCTATGTCATTATTGTAATTTTTCTGAGGTTTTCTGGAAGGGACACTTTAAAACAGACCTAGCTTTGTATTTATTGTATTTTTATGACAATAGCAATCTTCATTTCATCAATCAATAGTAATCAATATGACTTTAGCAATCAATCAATTCATCGTTGAGACGATTGGAAAAAAAGCCCCCATTCACTCCAAAATGAATTTGCAATTAATGATAAGAGAAAATTGATTAAACGGGCAGTTCTTGGAACTTGTAAGTATGATGTTTATTTTTAATTTTTTTTTATTTTGCTAGAGAATGGTCAGTATCACTTTATACTCTTTATGCATTTTTTGGGAAGACGATAGGTCTCTGTACCAGCCAGACTGTTTATAAAAATGAATAGATTTGGTAACAGTAGAAGTGCTCATTGTACTAAAATTTGAAAACTTTAATCATAAATACATCATTTGTATGCTTGTGAATGTGATTACTATTTTCTTAACAAAAAAGAAAAATACATCAATCAAGTTCTATTTCAAATAGAAAGATACCATATGTAACAAATTTTTTTGTATTTTTGCAGGTGAAATGGAAAAACACATGTTGCAGGAGAAGCAGAAACCAGTTTGGTGGCCAGAACATGTTTCATTTGTGTCCCCGAATTCTGGTTCCAGAGAAACTAACTGACCGATTGTGGCAGTTTTAGATATTATCCTGGAATCGTTATTATTATATGTCAGGAAAAGTGAAGTTTCAGCCAGGGAAGACTGTAATGACAAGATGAATGTGAGAGAGGAAATAAACGACAACATTCCATGAGAGTGACACGTAAATTGATGAAAAAGCAGAGAATTAAATCAGAGGAAGCAGAGGAACAGAAAAAGTCCGATGAAGCAGCCAGCGCAGGAGAAGAACAGGAGAGACGTTTATGTGATGATGAAGCATGCCAAGGGTGCTGCACGGGAAAAATGTGGGCGAAGTAGGAAAAGGGAGGACAAAACAAGTTTATCAATAAGGGAAAATTACAAGAAAATTGTTAAATTTCAATGCGTCCCTTTTATGTAGATCTGTCATCCCTCATTTAAACGCCAAGGTCAAATAAAATGCTTTATTTAATTTTTGTTTGATAACTCGAGGTGAAAAATGTAGTGTATTTAACACAATTTCTGGAGTTTATCTGCTTGTGTCTGCGTAGCAAACATGGTAATATTGATCCTTTATTTACTCTCTTTCAGAATTACAGTTAGAGTCTGGAAAATTGTGAAGATTTTCTGGAGCAATTCAAGGGGTCTTTAAAGTTGCTGCTGCGCGAGTTTGTGCAACTTCTTCCATTAGAGCATGCTAAGCCAATGGAATCGCATGTCAGTCGCAAGCAAATAGAACAATGGTAACTGTTATGGACTCTCTATGGACACTATTGTTCTATTATTCATTATTATATACTGGAATAGCCGAAGTGAAGGTTCATGTTATGTTCAGATATTCAAGAGTTTCGTTCCTGATTTTTAAAACTCTTGCACTGCATTCATCTTTAAAAACCTAATTTGTCGTTCATCTCTCAGATATATTTGTATATCAATCTTCTCACCGTCACAAAACTACTTGTTGACAGACTATGTTAGTTCATTTTCTAACTATTTTACTGACTTTAAAGGGTTTTCTTCAGGATAGTTTTTTTGATGCTTTGTTTCACTTGACTAGAGAAATTGTTAAGGAGCTTGTCCTTGAGGTTCATTAAGATATAGTTGATACGTACAGATCTGCCGGTTTTTGGATCGCCCTAGACAATTGCAACAAGCAATTTTCTGGTTTTGGGTACTTTCATGCTTTGTCAATGGTGTCATGCTTGTTACCTTTTTCTAATTATGTTTTGAAGGTATCGCAATAATGTCCCCCCTCAACGCCTTGAAACTGGAAGGAAACCAATTAAGGTTAAAGCTGATGGTAAATAATTGATGTTTGATAAAGCTCTCTGATCTGTGATATGGTTTGCTGCATGAGCAAGAGGTTATGCAAAAAGTAAGTGTAGTTGCCGTCATCCATTACAATCATCCATCAGTTTTCCTGCCAGCTATTGTTGGGAAATTCTAACTACATTGATGCCAGAGTTAACACCACACGAACCATGTATCAAATACAGACAGAAGTTCTACTATTCTTTATCATGTCTGATTTACACAGGTTCTTGTCTTCTGCAGCCTTTGGATTTACAAATTGATGTCAGCCTGTTGAGCTACCTAATCACAACCAATGACATTGCTAACAAATACGCCTGTATGGAGGATGAAATTGAGAGGCTCCTGAACTGTGTAAGAGAGGAGACACTTGGCACTGCCGAGAAGTATAGATATGCAAGTAGGAGAGAGAACAATGTTAACGCTTCTTATTTGCAATTAAGCGATTATAATTATTTCCATTACCACCACCAGCTGCAAAGACAATTCATCATTCACAAGGTGATACTTTGTCCAAGGTAGCCATTGATTTTCCTAGTAATACAAGAGAACATATGCACTATGTCGGACTAAGTAGAGTAACAAGTCTTTAAAATCTTGATATATTTAACTTAAATGAAAGTGAAATTGCAGCAATGGAAAAAGTCAAATCAGAAAGGAGACCGTTGAGAGAAGAGGCTTCTGTAAAGATTCCTTTCCAGCTTTTTGATATTGAAGGCCAACATGTGTTTGAAGTTGTTTTCCAGAATGCAAGATCACTTCATCTACATATGAAAGGTATTGCTTGTGATTATAACATTCAATCTGCTGTTATAACCAACATTGCATAAACAGCTTCAATTCCACATGACCAAAATACAAATGACAGAAGCCATGGAATTTTTGCATAACACCATTCTCAAGACAAAGAATATTCAGTAATAATTCTAGGCGATTTTAATGGTAATCTTTTGACACTCTCTTCAGAAGCACATCACCTCACTTCCTACATGGTCGATAAAAAAGGATATACTCAGTTTATCAACAAATACACAACTGATACTTGCTCATTAATTGACAATATGTATACAAATAATCCTGAAATGATAAAAAACTAATTACTTAATACTTTGGAACATAAAAAGCTACAATTATAAAGAAATCAACCACCAGTCAACTCCAAATGAGCAAATGCTGTTGAATTACCAGTGAGCAATTCACCAACAATTGTAACAATTTTTAAACTATTTGCCTCTGTCATTGGAAAATGTCTACTCTTTCAAGGACAAAATCATAAAATTAAATTTAATTTATTTTGAAAATTTTATTTCGTGGCATTGGATTCTCGTCGTCGTATTGCTTTGTTCCTGTATACCTTTCATTTTAAAATCTCATTGCAAGATTCACAGAATCCGGCGGGCAGCCTATCCTGCGGTTCTTCCTTCTCACACTTTAAAATCACAAAGGCCTTAGAAAATTTATAAACAGTGTTCTCGAAAACACTGAATATTTAATAAGCATTCAACTTGGTCTTGATACTTCACTTTTAGCCAAGTTCAGAAATTCTTACATCAGGGTCATTCCATGCCAATGAGGGACCGTCATGTAATGCACCCTCTCAAATTTTCCTGATACTCCTATCAGATACTTAGCATTTTGAGTGGAAAATAACCTGAAAATTTCAAGTTGATATCTTTGCTCATTCAGATATTATAGTTATTTTAATTTTTGCTGATTCAGCATAATATTATCCACATATCCGCCATTTTGAATGTGCAGAGAAAGTAAACTTTGAGAAATTTTCATAAAGTATATGGAAATCGTTAATTAAATTATCATTTTTGGATAAATTAGGGGCAATGAATTCAAAAATTGCAACAGAAATGCACTTAATCCGTTAGAAAACAGTGTAAATTATACCAGAATATAATTTCTTATACTCGCAAATCGCTTTTACCATCCACCAAACTATGAAAAAATTCACCATGTTGGAAAAATGTGACAAATTTCAAATTGTGCATCCAAGAAGTACACAGGACAGACTTTAAATTTACAAAGAACCAGCAAAAGGTTTTTCTTGGTTTCTGAGATATGCACTTTGCAAATTTGTGAGAAATTCGTGAAAATTTAGCATTTTTCTCAGTTGTTTGAAGCCATCTATATAGGAAATACACTGTATGTTATTGGAATTGGTGTTTTACAAATAGAATTTAACTATTATAATATATGGTGTTTATAATTGAATATATCTTTCCCATCAATACAACCCATTTTCAATGGTTCAAATTTACTTTTATACATGCTAAGGGAGTGCGAAGACCTACAAAAACGTTCAAAATTTTGAAAAAAATCCGAAAACCCATGCAAAAATTCGGCAATTCCTAAAATGCATATTTCAAGGTAAAATTTTCTAGGGATGTAATTTATTTCAAAATTATTATCTGCCAAAAGCTAACATCATGACATGTTATTGTGCAGATTTGTTTTAAGTTTTGAAGTACACGCTTTTTTTATAAGGAACCTACCTCAAGGCCTAGTTCCAAAAGTTCCTTATTCGTATACTTCAAATCATCAGATTTTATTACCAAAAGTTCCTTAAAAGTTCCTTAATTTTTACTGCACATCAATAAGCCTTAACACTTAATGGAGAGGGGCGAGACAGCATATGCGGAAACTACTCGACAAAGCACTTGACACACGAATAGCAAACAATCTATGCGATTATTGGCTGCAAATGAATGGAACCGGCTTTTTAGTTCTTGATGCTTGCAGTTATAAAAATTTTGTTCTTTAAATATATCGGCCTTATACATGTAGGTTCCTTATAAAGTGGTTCCTTATAAAAAAAGCGTGTACCATCTGTAAACGCGAAACACCACACCTTTTTAAACCTGGTTCCCAGTTGTAATTTGCGTAGGAATCGGGGAAGTCGGCGATTCTCTTGCTTCTTATGCGTATTAGGAGAAGTGTGAACGTGTTTTTATAGGCTGTTCATGAGTCATCGACTTCCATGACACTTTTGCGAATTACGATCAGTCGCCCGTGCAGCATTGAAATCAAATTCTCATAACGGATGTGAACGCAATGAATGCAGAAACGTAAGAAGAGCCGACTACCCTGATTCTTAGGCGAATTGCGACAAGTGGGAACAATGTAAATCCTTTGTTCTTCAAAGAACTTCATAGTTAACACCTCTGCAATATTTCCAGCTAATGTCCATGATGTTTCCTGTCAGGAACAGGTGTATCAGTTTTTTTTGAGGTTTTATTTAAATCACATTTGCGCAGTAATTTACACAGCAGACATTTTAAAAAGTTGATCTGTTACTTCGATACGACGCAAGCAGTTTAGGGTTTTGGTGTAACTATGAGTTTGAAGAATTGTTCGATTGGTGAAAATATTGGCACGCCTTGTCATTTAAAGTCTTACAGCAGAAACCTGGGAATTCAAAAGTTGGACGATCTTGACCTGGAGGAACGAGAAATCATTTGGTGGAGATCCGGACTTTCGATTTTAAATGTGGGTGCAGACATTTGTTTACATCATAAACACGAAATATTAAAAAGATACGTCATAAAGGAAACGTGGTGTTGCGATCCTTTCCATGCCCACACAAAGAAAATTAAAGGTATGTATGTTAGCAAGCAATCGTATATATCTATTTTCAACCAAAATTGAACATCGAGCAGCGATAGTGAGCCTTACCATTAAGAATCTTCTAAAATCTAAAAAGGATACGCTGAAGTTCTGCATTTTTACAAGAAACATTGATTTTAACAAAAACAAACTGTCATTCATGATATAACCAACCATTTCAATGAAACAGTAACGTAGGAGCTTGAGGGGCAGGTGTCCCTACTTTTCAGAGGATACAAGTTTTGTGCCCCTTTTTGTACGCAAAATTGTCCCTTTTCTCAGAAAAGTGCACTTTTTGTCAAAAAACTTCTGCCGTGCTCCCTTCTTTTGAACACGTTCTACGCCCCTTTTAGGTTACTTCGAAATCGTGAACACACTTGATAAAGCATTTTGACTAACAAAACTATTTTTGCAGGTGGCCTTGCTGAAATAAAGCTGGAGCTTGCGAAGCACATGATCCAGTATGGGTTGCACGCTGTTCCAGGATATAAGCCAGGGCCGTAAATCTGTCATGTGAATTGGGGGGGTCAGCAGATCAAATGAATATAAAGTATGCAGTGGGTCATGGCACCACAAGGGATTTATGGTATGTGTTATGGAAACAGTTGAGGGGCAAATTACTTTACAAAACAAAAGTCAATATATTTGGATTTCTCAAGACTTTCTGCTCTATAGTAGGTATTTACAGATATTCCTTAGTACATTGACTTGTGTGTGTGATTGGATGGATAAAATTTTTCAGAGACGGTCCCAAAAAATTGAACCTTGGGAGCTAAGAATCAATTTTACCGTCGTAGGAGGACTCACCATGGTTGGGGCCGACACGGAAGAACATTTTTGAAATTTTACCTTCTAGAAAGGCTAAAAAAGCATCCCCCAGACTAAATTTAATAAAAAACTAGAATCGCTCAGGATAGAAAGTTCGGCGTTTCTCAGAAGAACACAGATTATTGGTTATTGGGTGAAATTTTGGAGGGGAAGAGTCATGCTCAAACCTTGGTGACAGACTTTGGGGAAATATAGGACGCTGTTGTATTGATTGGTAGAAATTTACTTTCTGAACAGAAATGTGCGTCTTCCTTATTTTGACTGATTTCAGTAGGCCATGTTTAAACATCAAAAATGAATACATTTTAATGATACAAAAAGTGATTTACTAAATAAAAGTAAATAATAGACAAATAATAGAAATGTACGTAAATAAGTTAGTAAATAGGTCAAATAAAATGACAGACTGCTCTCTTTTTATTTCATACTCTGGTTTCAAAAATAAAACGGTAGAAAACAGTAGAAAACGATAAAAAAGGTAGAAAACGGTAAGTTTTTATCTTGTAAAAAATTATAAAAACCACTCTGCTTACAAAAATAGCCTTAGTGGCTGAGGTTTGTTGCAATAACACAGAGAACGTAGTTTGGTTCTAACCCGGCTACCAGGGATTTCTTTCTTACAAGGAAAATGATGGTAATTTCTCCAAAAAAATCGTTTTGCTCCAGATTTTTTTGGGGGGGGTCCAGTCCCCCTCGTCCCCCCCGGGATTTACGGCCCTGATATAAGCTATGCCCTTCATGCCAAAAGAAAGTCTGTGCATTGACGCAAGGTGATCCCCATGAAAGTATTTTACCCCAGGATGACCAATTCACGCAAGAACTAGATGATGAGCTAGCCATTGCAGAAAGTAAAGAGGTATTAAGTAGCACATTCATTGACCTTGATTTGTCACCAATAAAACTGCATTCAATGCCTCAAAACACAATGGTTACGCCTGGAAAACGAAAAATCAGAGAAGCAAGCAATGAACTGTCCAAACGAGTTGCCACTGTTTTAAATGTTGATAAAAGTGTGATTAGTTTCGAATCAGAAGAAAATAATTCGGCAAAGGAAACAGAGCAAAAATCAAGGGACCTGGATTACCTGGTTTCTCTCATGAAAGAAAAGCTGAATGTGTCAACTAGAAGACAAAAGATTCAAATTTTGACACTGACTCCAAAGTCTTGGGGACTAAGAAAAGCAGCAACAGAATTCAAAGTTTCCAAAAGTTTCCAGCTACCTGGCAAGAAAGATTGCTTAAGCATTGGAAAGAAGCAATATGTGGCAAAGCGTTTGATATTGTGCAGTTTGAAAGAACTATATGAATTATTTAAAACTAAAAATCCCAACTTAAAGATCGGGTTTTCAAAGTTTGCCAGCCTACGTCCGAAATGGTGCATTTCAGTTGGCCCCAAAGGTACTCATTCAGTGTGTGTCTGCACAATCAATCAAAATTTAAAACTAATGTTAGATGCTATCAGTATAGACAAAAGTTATCATGAAATTCTAAATGTTTTTATGCGATTAATTGCACGCTCTACGTGGATCCGTAAATTTGCAATTGCCTTTGTCTTTTTGCACTCTTCAGCTGTCATCTGAGATTTGACTCTTGCTCCAGGTGGGACAAAAAGTGTGCAGTAAAAATGGAGGAAATCCTCTTTTATCTGAAACCCGCGATCTGCCATTATTACGTCATTATATTCAAGTAGGGAGTAGAATCCACTGTTCTGACATATGTACTGATCAGTGGTTCTACCCCCAAAACACTTAGAAATGAAAGTTATAAAGCCAGATGGAGCAATACCAATAAGGAATTTGATAGTGTTCCTCTTTTTGTAATCTGACCAAGTTCCTGCTTGATCACTGACTGACTATGGTCTTTCAATTGCTATCTCAGTGCAGTCAATGATGCACCTGGTTTTACTATAGGGCCCTTTGAAAACATCTGGCAAATTTGTTGTTATGATGTCTTTTTCGAGCCACACTATCAATGCATCTCCTAGAATCCTGCTCAAAAACCTCATCCATGTGGAAAATATTCTTGAGCAGGTAGATGGGGATATTTCAAATCTACACGCAAGATCATTGAGTAGCAATCCAAGCCGTAGCCGCATCATAACAAGCAAAAACTGGTCTTTGCCACATAGCTTTTGAGACATCAAACCTTTGTTACCAGTTGGCCTTGCTTTTGTAGAAATGATGGTCTTTGATCCCCTCCACAGCACCAAATTTGGTAGGTATGGGCGAAATAATGCAAAAATAGCATTAAAGATGACAAGTGACTGGATGCCAGTATAAAATTTGATCTGTTCATCAGATTTTAGAAAAGCTGCTGACATTCTCTGTGGCCCTTTGACATCATCCTTTTTCAATTTTAAGGATTCAAGCTTTTTAGACAACTTTGCAATATTTTCCTTCAAAGCATAATTTTCCATCTTAATCACACTAACCTTACTATCCATAAGAGAACTTATCTCTAAACATTTTTGGCACTCTTCATCCTTTGGAAATGCAGAACTACCGCATAGATCTTGTACTGTTGAAGTTATTTCAGATGTAGCGGAGTATGAGCTTGATGCTTCTGTTGCTGGAGATGATGACCTTGGTGTCATTACAGGTGGAGCGGCCCTTACCAGTTCTCTTCTTGGTTTTTTAGCTGGCTTATCGTAACCTAAGTTCAAGGTTGGGTTTGGATTCTCTAAAGTTGGGCGGCCATCAACAAAATGCATTGAACAGACCATATCGCTTTGGCCAGGAGTCCATTCTTTATGTCCCTTCGTTGTTCCTCGCAGCAGTCTTATCCATTCTTTTCTCTTATCAGAATTCAGCTTCACACTTGGAAAGATGTGAAGGCTAAATGGGGTAGGACATGGACAGTCCTTATGCCATAAGCCTTTATGCTCACTGCATTCTTTCTTCTGCCATGCCTTGATCTTGAATCTGCTGTTCGTACACCCTATCACCGCACAATTTCCGTTCACCATATCTCCGCCTCCTCTTGCTAACCTATACCATTCACAGCGCTTTAAGATCTTTGAAATTACAGGAGCTTTTAAAAAAGCTGTTCTGAAGATTACAGACTAGGTCAAGACAAGTTAAGCGTTGAGTAAAATAATCAATAACTTTCGTATAGCACAGATGCCGTAGTACTGTTTACTGTTTACATTGCTATGGGTGAAACTTTTTCACCCAAAAACTAGTGCCAGACCTCTTCGCGCACTCGAGGCCACGGTCGTGCAATTGGTGTATTATTGGCTCCTTTGCAACATTATTTTTTCCGCGCCGCTTTTTTGAGCCTGGTTTGTGACCGGCACTTTCAGGACTATTTTTAAATAGCATTTGGAAAGGCTTGTTGCCTTGCTTTTTTAAATTTTTAAGATAGCTGTGAAGTTTGTTGTGATTATCACAAACGACTTCTATATGCTCGCATAGCATTCCATTTTCTTTAAACGATTTGCAAGAACAATTATACCGTTGCTGTGACATTTGCTCGATATGGAATACTTAATCTTCATCTGTTACACAGAAATTCCCATTTTCCAGTGGAATGACTTTTTCAGTCTCCATTAATACTGCAGTTTTTCCAGATTCCTCTAAGCCTTTGGGCAGAAATTGTTGGGACACAGAAGTCTATGTCCTCGTACATTTGACAAGGTGAAATTTTTCTCTTTTTGGCATTAAACATGAAAACTTTGTTTCTATAGTTTTCTTTCTGTGCAAAACTCATCTGAAACCATTGCGCTTTATCCAGTTAAAATTGTGTGCCCTTAAAATTCCAAACGATTGGAATCTGTGTCTCAGCATTTGATGCCATAAAAAGTTCATTTGCAGGAGACATCTGCTGGGTAGAATTATGCCTGATTTCATCTTCTACTCCCAACGATAATTCACTTTCAGCTGGGTCAATTCCCGCATCAGACATGAGCACTATGCTTGTTTGTTTGCCATGGTCATGGTTTGCCGTTGCTTCCTCTCTTTTGACCAATTCAGCTATCATCTGAAAATTATATCAAAAACAAAATTTTTCAAACTTTTAAGAAAAGCCAGCCCTTGATTTTATTAGTAAAAGTAATCTCTTTAGTCCTAATACTATCATGTAGAAATTAAAATAATTTTCACTTGTCTTACGAACCTCTAGTCTGCGTTGCTTCGCAAAGCCCCTATACCCCCTCTTCGGGCTAAGTTTCTTCGGGCTTGGAGACTCCAAAGAGAACGGCGATTGAAATCTCGATGTTATTGGCTTGATAACTGTCCTCCTTTTAAAGGCTCCTTTTTCCCTTGACTTGCCCACTCCCTTTCGGAGATCCCTTATAAAAAATGGTAGGTACCGCATCGCGCTTCAAGGAAGGATGTTTGATTCCTTCGAGTCCTAGGGAAGCTATGAATTTTGGTCCCACTTCGAACTGGTCCTCCTCAAAATGATCCTGGCACAATCTAGAATGTGTCTTTAATTCAAAATTCAGAAGAACCATCTTTGCGATCCAAACTTTTTGCAAGGAAGGATCAGAGGGGAATTTAAAAAGAGTTTTCAGCAGCAGCCGTCCGGCTTCCGCGCGATTTTCTTTTCCTACTGTCCTCAAAACAATTGTACGCACTACAGTGAACCATCTTTCTCTATCAGACAGAATTTCTTTATGATTGCTTTTAACAGCCCTGACTGCATCTAAAACAGTTAAGACAAAAATAACCTGGAATCCTTGCAAACTGATGTGTCTAAGAATGCACATAGTAGACTGAAGGATTGAAAATATTGCAAATTTCATCTCCAGTAGCTGTAAATAATTGTCGCAGTAGCTGTAAATAATTGTTTTATATCATCACAAAGAAGTGAGGAAGAGGAAGAAAGGTGAGGAAGAGGAAGAGGAGAGGTGAGGAAGAGGAGGAGAAGGGTCTTGAAATTATTTTTGATAAGCAGCTTAATGCTAATCTTGCAACTAAGGGGAATTGACGTTGAAGTTTTAAATTACATTTACAACACCCGATTTTCAACCTGTTTTGGTAGATAAAGATACACATATAATATCATGGAGAAAGGAAAAAATATAAAATCCGCACTAAAAGATGCCATTGAATGCATAGAGCGTCTGGAGCAACATGGTTCTAGTTCAGCAAACACCGTCAAAAATGCTGTACCACCAGCCGTCAGGACTTTGAGGCCATTCTTGCCAATGCGGCGCAGTGCAGACACACATACTTCGCTAATTAATACAAGCAGAAGACCAAACAACATTGAAGGAAACAGAGAAGAAGCAGTAATGCAAGATTTTAGGTAGATACATTTCTAATTTTTCTTTCTAATTTTCTTTATCTTTTCCATCAATCGATATATGTATTTCATAAAATAAGGTGCATGTTTATTATACGGGACCTAACACATGGCCTAGTTCTTGAAGTTCCTTATTTTTGGACCATTTTTTTTATCAAACTGTAGTACTTAAAGTTCCTTGATAGTTCCTTAAATTGACTGCATTTCCTCAACACCCTGTTCTTTTCCTGAAATGTCTGAGGGGCAAAAGACAGCAACCCGAAAGTTACTCAATTAAACACCTTCATAAAACACAATGTATCTGATTTTTAACTACAAATGAATAGAAAAAAACAACCAAAGGCTAAGGAAGGCAAAATGCATTACAACTGCACAGAATGTTTTGCGACTATACAAAGGAAATGTAGGTTACAAAGTCAATCAGAAAAACATTATCAATCTTCAAAATGAATTCATCCCCTCAACAAAGATGCTATTGGTTTGAAGAAACTATCATCTAAAAAGGACAAACAGCTGTTAGAAGAGAAAACCATTGTTTCTAGAAGACAACTAAACATCGAGCATGTAGAATGTGGTATTTGCCAAAGAAAGGTTACCAAAAAGAATAGGAATCTTCATTATAAAAGGTGGCATAGCCAAGAATATACATACACTGCAGTTTTCTGTGATAAACACAAAGGTTTTTACATGATTAGAAAGTCATCACATGAGGATGTGGGTCATCCTTTGCATGTACAAAAATTACTTCAAAGTGGATTAATCGATTGTGAAGATGAAAGGTGTCGAGAAGAGATGACGACTGCTGCGTGGTCAGGCATGAACGGAACAGAATGCAGTCATTTGATGCTAGTTAATAATGCTTTCTATCCACAACAGTTTACATTGAGCGAATACAAGCTATTTCAATTGGCTTCCAGTGGAAAGTATAGAGTTTTGTCTGAGGAAATAGTTAGCACGTGCATTGAGTTAAAACACGGTTGTGATTTGTATAATCATCCATTAGTGGTTGCTTGGAAGGACCAAAAACCAAAATCATATTCATTTGTCGGTCTATAACAGCAAATATATGAACATACCGATACGGTCTCGATGTATAGTTTCTTACAAGAGTCTATCTGGTGGTCTAAACTGAAAGGGTAAAAATCCAAGTATGTGTGCAAATATGTGCTGTGGCAGAGGCTGTATTGAAGACCAAGATTGATAGCCTCAGCAAATGTTACGAGTTTAACTGCATGATATGTGGTTTTTATCACCATATCTCGGTCGCTGATGTTAATCGTAAAGTTGCATTTAAGTATACTTCTCCTACAGAAAATAATTTGAATAAAGATGATGTGGATGAAGTTGATTGTCAAAATTTTTGGAATGACGTTGCAATAGAGATGATGAGCAGGGGGTTTCGTTCAATAAAACTAGACTCTCTAAAAGTGGGTCCGAATCTGTCATATTGGCCACCATTTATGGGTAAAAAGAGTAGGATAGGAATTATAATGTATAATTCCGAGCACCTTAAAGCTCAAAGGGATGATGAAAATGTTGAGGTGGAATTTAGAGAGATATCTGAAGAGCGATTGCTGGAAACACTGTTTGAGAGCTCATCCAAGGACGTAAGATTGCATGCTAGAAAAGTAGGTGTGTCCTCAAAAGGAAACAAACTGGATATTATAAATTGCACCAAGACCGGTCTTGATAAGAACAACATTAAATTTGACAAGATTTTTCGAAAAATGTTTGGATTTTCTGGTGGCTGGTTGACAGTAGCATGCCATCACAGAATAATTTAGGCACTCAAATTCTTCCTTCGCTCTAAAAGTCCAAGAGACTATATAAATATTTTGCACGGACTGAAACACAGGCCAAATATATTTATAAATGACATGGCCCACATTGTTGCTGCATTTGGTAACAGAAATTTTGACATTTTCTTTTCACCAAACATAAGCAGTACTGCATAGGCTACTGAGGAGAATGTCCAAAAGGCAAATGAAGGAGACCTACAGCTATCATTTCCTTTGATTAATTCATTCTCAAAGCTAGAAAAAAAAAGGAAATGCTAACTGTCACCTAATCACCAATAGTGCGTAACATTTTGCCCTTTTTGACCGACTTCATGAGGAAAAAAACCCTAATGAAGTTGTGGTACTGCGAAGGATAGGTTGCATCAATGAGCTCTATGGTCAAATTAATAGTCAAGTTGCAGAACAAATTCATGGCTCGTTCAACCTAAACAGATACTTTCTCAATAAAATGTCTCCATCTAATCATATATTTATGTTACGCTTAATCATTGATTTGACAAACTGGAACTGGCAAGTTATTTGTGAAATTGAGAAAAGAACGAGACTTGTTGCTAAATAAGACAAATTTGGTCGTGCAATTCTTGCCCATTCGAGAGAAGAGGACTAAGTTCATGACGATCAAAGCTCAGACGATTCTGTTGACAGATCCTTCCTTGTGACAGCATCCATAGATCCAATCCCATGGTTTGATGGTTTGAGGAAGTTTCATTTTCTAAGGAAGACCAAACATCAAAACCTGACTATAAAGAATTTATCAACGGTTTGTACAGGACGGCAATCGCCAGAATCTTTCCTCATATTCAAACAAAAGTTTTGAAACCCAGCTAAAAAAGAGGTGTCTGCAAAATATCAATATCTCTAAAACAAGTGATATCGAACCTGAAGATACAGAAGGGCCTATTGATGATCTTTTTCCATT